CCTGCTCCTAGTCCTAGTCCTAGTCCTAGTCCTAGTCCTAGTCCTAGTCCTAGTCCTAGTCCTAGTCCTAGTCCTAGTCCTAGTCCTAGTCCTCCTCCTCCTCCTCCTCCTACTACTACTACTACTACTACTGCTAGTGCTACTACCACTGTTACTACTACTGCTGCTACTACTACTTATTCTTCTTCTTCGACTGCCATTCCTGCTGCTGCTGCTACACACGCACCCAAGTCAAGCATCTCAGGTGGTCGGTGAGGAGGGGACAACCAACTTCCCAAAAGATCAGCACCGACCTCGGCCATGAGTTTGCTTAGCATTTTGGGGAGTTATGGATACCAAGTCACAGTGCTGTATCACGAGCTATAAGCTCTACTCTGTGACTGTGAGGTTACTATATTACTACCGGGTTGGGGGGTTTAGGATTCGTGGTCTACTTTACTGCGCAAGATTATAGGTTTTGGACGTGCCTGCGAGGCTTCATAAGAAGTTCAAGGACCACGTGCTGAAGAAAGGCTTCAAGGCCTGTCATGTGGATCCTCGGCTTGCAAAAAGTTGCTGCTCTTTAGGGATTAGCGGTCAACCCAACACCCTAGACTCATCCGGTGCAATGCCATTTTTCACTTCAGGGCTCCAACAACTACATGCACTGGAGAACCGACTTCTTCACCTCCTTGCCGGCCATTCTCATGAAGGAGGCGCCAAGAACAGAAAGCAGAGACACAGGGCCCCGAAGCTTGAAAGAGATGAAGGCCCTATTTGTGTGCTTTGAGGTTGCGGGTTGCAGGCTGCGGCACCTGGAGCTAAAAATAGTAATAATAACAATAATAATAATAATAAGACCAGTAATAATGATTTTGCAGTCGCCCATGCTTCTGCTTCTGCTTCTGCTTCTGCGGCTGCTGCTTTACGGCGACAGCCAGAGTCACGGAGACTCGGGCGACGACGCCGAAGACGACGACGGCGACCATGAACTCTACTGCAGCTGAGTACTACCACTAATAAATTCTGCTTCTGTTGCTGTCGTTGCCTACAATACGACTAGTCCGCTGCTGCGCTGTTTCCTACCATGCTGATGCCGCCAACAGCAGGTTTTAGTACTTGATACATTTGCGACCACAAATCTCAAGCCCCAGAACCCCCTAAAACACCCGCCACAAACTTCGACTTTCCGGAAGCCTACACTTCCGCGAACCCCCAATCCCTAAACCCTAAAGTCCTAAACTTCCCTACTACAAAAGGTGTGCAAAAAAACCTCAAATTCCATACAGCCCTCAGTCATGACAGGCCTTGCAGGACGAATGGAAGAAGGCGGTGGGCCGAATACCTCCAGACATGTCCAACGTCTTCATCCGCTTCAAGGTGAACTCGAATGTCAACTACGCATCTTGGCTTTTGCGTCTCTGGGGTTTCGGGAGATTCAGGGGAGGATTAAGCAGATTGGGTTGGTGGGTCTAGGGCCCGAACATGGGACATGCAAGGCTTTTCTTTATCGCTTTTAGGAGTTGGGTTTAGGTCTGGAGATTTCGTGCTGAAGCTAAGTAGGTCGGACTCACAGTTGTAGTGATACGTTGTCCTGAATTATATTATGTTATATGATATCATATTATGTTAGTATCAAATATTGAATTGTTTTAATTGCATTATATGGCATATCATATCATGTTATATTATATTTGTGTTCTTGCGGTCTTTCCCTTCTCTCAGGTTCACTGAGGTTCAGAGGCTCTGCTTTGTGACACGAATACTACCCGTGCCCTCTATGACCCCCGACGCACATGACCGCTTCCTGCATCCTGTGCTGCGCCACCCAACCGACAAGACCTCAGTCTTTGCTCCTGTCTCTTGGGGGGCGTTTGGGGAAGTCAGCCGTCAGAGACTGCATCTACCCCCAGACTTACAGTCCTGAAACTGCTGATCCGTTGTGCAACGGGAGCAGTCATGCCCGACGTGGTTGTTGTGGTAGTTGTGGCAGTGGTTGTCGTTGTTGCTGCAGCAGCTGCAGCAGCAGCAGCATGAGGAGGAGGAGTACTCATTGTTTTTGCTGTTTCCGTTTGTAGTAGTGGTAGTTGTGGCAATCGTAGTAATCAGTGTTGTGCTTCTCCATATTTCTCATAGATTGGGCTAGGGAGTCGCCGAACATGGGGTGAAGCTGCGAGACGGGTGCCGGGCCAGAACTTGACGTGGTGCTAGAGTTTGGCGGTTCAGGAACGCGTCAGGTACCTCGTGCGCCAGTCGTGATACTGGTATCACAGCTTCTGTCGAGTTTCGCAGCTTCCCAGCTTCTGTCGAGGAGGTGCCCCTCCAGCCCCATGACCCAATCCCCGAGATGTTCAGCACATGTCTTAGTGACTTCGTGTATACCACTGGGCAGCGCAATGTTCCGTCGTCATAGCCGGAGGCCCTCGAAATTCACTAAGTTGGTGTTGCACATGCAACAGACGCAACATTTGGCAAGCATGAGCAGCAGCGACACCAGTAACATGAACTATGGGTCGTCGGAGGGAAACTGCTCAGCAGCAGTTTGGGTTCGGTTGGATTCGCATGGCTTATGGGCAAGACAAGAGCGACATTGATCCGAGGTAGTCGTGGAACACGCGTATGCGTCTTTCGCAGAGAGCAGCGGGGAGCTGAGAATCTGGGTGGTGTTTGCTGAACTGGCTGGTGAGCACTCAGCGATTGCCAACTTCCCGCACATGCTCGAAAATTGCCTGAGAGAACTCGAGCCCAAGGCCCAGCACCGCGGTGTGGCGACTATAGTAATGAAGCACGATGCCTGAATGACCGCAAAGGGCGCAGTAAGCAAGTGTAAACGAAATTATCATAGTGAACACATTGAAGTCATTAACAAGTTGTTTGTCATCCTGACAACATGGCAAGAATGCCCAAGCGACAGGAGTTGAACGGACAGCATAGCGATACTTGTCCTTGCAGTAGCACCTAGACAGGAGAAGCACCGTGAAAAGTGGGTGGGAACCACGACGGCACCGCGGAAATCGTGGCAACTAATTACAGTAACTACAGTGACTAGTTCCGACAAGTTGTTCAACTGGTACACTCTACCCACACTGTCTCTGCAGGAAAGGATGATGCAAGCTTCAAAAAGGCGATGAGACTTGGCTGCCGTTGAGCAGTGTGCTGACGTCATCTTATGCGAAGCACATGCAAGTTCAATCGCTGTGGCGCCTATGTGCCGTTGGATGCCTACAGGGCATACCATGCATACTTGCGGGGCTTTTGTAGTTAGAACAGGGATTTGGGGTGTTCGTGCTATCGTTACAATATGGAGCCACGAAATGGACTTGAGCCCCCATATTACTCCAAACCCTGAAGACCGTATCCTGCGGAGCTAATATCACAGAAGAAGCTGAAAGGAGGGGCGTGTTTAACCACGAGGTGTTGCCTTGGTTTTTGTTCAAGGAAATGTACTACCATCAGGTTTCCAAGATATCCCGGTTTTTTCTGTAGATCTAGACTTCCCCCTCGCACCCAGCCAGGCCCTACAGCCCAAACCCTTAAACCCCTAAACCCCTAGAAACCAAAACCCCTAAACCCTAAACCCCTAAATCCCTAAACCCCTGAACCCTAAACCCCTCAACCCCTAACCCCTAAACTCTATTGCCGAACCCCTAAGTCCTCAAACCCGAATAATACCTAAGTCCTCCAGAAAAACCCTAAACCCCAAGCCCTCAACCCAACAATTTAAGTTTAGGGTTTAGGGTTTTTAGGGTCTTAAACTTAAGCTTGAAACTCTGAAATTGTTTAGCGAAGGACATGGTGGCTCGAACTCCGACCTGCTATCAAGCAAGCGGTTCTTGAACCTTGGCAGGGCTTTAGGGTTTAGGCTTTAGGGCTTCAGGTTTAGGCTTTAGGGTTTTGGGTTTGGGGCTTAGGGTTTAGGGTTTAGAGTGTACCGTTAGAGGATCTGGGGTGTTGGGTATGGGGTTTAAGGGGTAGGGTTTTTGACGTTTGAGGCGTAGGATTTGGGGTGGGAGTATTGGGTTCAGGGTTTGGAGTTGAGGTCCCCAAACCCAAAACAGCTTTGGTTGATGATATTCCGGAGGCTGTTGAGTCTGCGGGCTTGGAGCTTTTTTTCCAGGATTCTGGTACCGCCAGTCAATGCTTTTTTTAATCCTACGGGCTTACGCCTTAGGGTTGAGGGTTTAGGGGGCTCTGCAGAAGCTCAAAAAGTCTGCGAGAGGTCTTTCCGGTAGTCTCATTTGGGCCCTTCTGCAGCCGAGGAGAACTACGTGAAGGTCTCCAGAGGGCATGACAATTCGAAAGACAAGTTCGGAAACCCCAAGATCAAGGAGATGGTCAAGGGCCATCCATGTACTTGGAGGCGGGTTTAGGGGTTTAGGGCTTAGTGCTTCAGTGGTGTAGGGTTTAGACCATGGGACAAGTTAGGGCTTTTAGTTATAGCTATAGCGATCTTGTGCACAACATATGTACTTGGGCTTTCCGATCTTCTTCAAAGCCTAAGACGACGATATCGACTGCGAGAGTGCTACTACCAGGTACTACCAGACTTATTCGTCCATGACTGGAAAGACCATGGCTCTTCTGGGTGCTCAGCCTGTCGCTGCTCCTTATGTTCGGTTTAGGGTTTAGGATTTAGGGGTTAGGGTTTAGGGTCTAGGGTTTAAGGTTTAGGGATTTAGCGTGTAGGGTTTAGGGTTGTTCATTCGCATCCTGATAGTCCTACCTGGGGCTCTCGCCTGAGCTGCAGCTACCGCAACTACTGGTTCTGTTGCTGTTACTCCTGCCACTGCTTCTTAGAGGCAAAAACTGACGGTAGTGGTCCTAATGCCATCACCATCAAACACTGAATATATTTAGCCAGCACTGATACGATCAGGTTCCAAATAGGAAGTACCCATAGGCTCCTTAGCAGTTCCTTTTGGGGATTACCTTATAGAATCCTAAATATAAGCCCCAAAAAGGAACTACTATGGAGCCTATGGGTAGGAAGAGCGGCCTATACACGCAAGAGCAATTACAACGGACTGTCGGCAGGTCCCTCATGGCGCCCGAGTGCGTGCAGGACTCCCGAAGTTCGCTGCCAGGGGGTGTGTTTTCTCTCCGATGCGTTCCCTAAACCCTAAACCCTAAACCCCTAAAGCTGGGAATCACCCTGCTTTTCCGAGTTGGATGAAGTTCCTGGCTTCGTTCTTTCTGCGGTTGTTGTTCCGGTAAGTTCTGCCAGCTGTGCCGTCTGCAAGTCACATGCCGGCCCTGAGAATTATATACAAGAGAAAGAGTACGGGTACGTTGTTTATCATCATTCCTTTGTCGATTGTATGGTCGATTCGCACATCTGTGCACTGTTACTCAGGTCAACTGACCTTCCAGTGCATTCCAGTCGTCGTGGGTTTTTGTTTTGGTGTTTAACATAGGAGCCTTTAAAGAACAAGACTTTGGCGTCGGTGCAAACTATGGTATCATTATGTGTATTACAACTAAGGGAGGCTGTTGAAATTATAAAGGCCACTATGTGCGGTTCGGCGGATTTTGGTTCCTCGTCACTGCGTCAGACATTGCCTTTCATGTGCAGCTGCTGACTCGGAAGCTACGCATGTTCTTCCCTCCAAGTGGAGGAAATGGTTTGATTTGTCGGGCCTTGTATGGTTTCAATTTTTTGCAGTGTCATGAGGTTTCCGCAATTAGACCCATTTGCAGCAGCAGAGGTTTAACGGAGAGCAAGTCGCAATAGGGCTATGCAGACTGCACAGACCGGCGGCGAGCTGCATGTACGCTATGCAAAACAAGGTGTTATGTCCATGTCATACGCACAGGGTCCTGCAATAGTCATCATGTTGTCGACTGTTTCAGAAAGTGAAGTGTGGAAAGGACATAAAGTCGGCCGGGTCGCTCAGCGACGCGGCTTTGGAGGTCTTGACCGTGGACGAGGCGCACCCTAAACCCCTAAACCCCTTAAACCCCCTAAACCCCTAAACCCCTAAACTCTAAACCCCTAAACCCCTAAACCCCATTTAGACATTGTGCTGCTACCTTTGTATGTGCATGCACATAACAATAATAAATAAAAACAATAACAATAACAACAATAACAATAATGATAGTAATCATAATCATAATAATCACAAGAATAATAAGAATAAAAAATAATGAGGAGTAGCAGCACAATGATCGGAGAGCCGCGGGCCGGTTTGGATTCGAGACGCGCGGCTTTGGTTCAGGTGCGAGAGTACTTGGAGGTTTAGGGGTTTAGGGTTTTTAGGGTTTAGGGGTTTAGGGTTTAGGGTTTTTCAGGTTTGGGGGTTTAGGGGTTTAGGGTTTAGGGGTTGAGGGTTTAGGGTTTTTAGGGTTTCAGATGGTTCATGGGTAGTTCTACAATAAGCGGGGTTATAAGTCCCCTAATTTGGGTTATAGTTCTAGTTACCCTACTTAGAACCCCACTCACAACTACCCATGAACCTCCAAGTATAGAAATAGGTTTTAGGGTTTCGAGGTTCAGTGCTCATGAAACGAGCGCTACAACTGTCGGACTGGCGCTTCGCAACAAAGCTTAGCCGGCATCCTAAACCCTAAACCCCTAAACCCTAAACCCTAAACTTGAACTGTGCATTTGCGTGCATGAGCTGCATATGTATGTGTGTGAGTGAAAAGCCATTCTGGTGTGATGTATCTATGGATGACGATACTGTTCTGTACCATAGTAAAGAAGCAGCATTACTACTTACTGGAATGTGCATGTGAAGAGCGGGTGTTCGCCTTGCTTATGCTGCTTGTCTGTTCTTGTGCCCTGCAGCAAAAGCAACCGGCAATCCCGGAATTGAGCGAACGGGCACTTTCTGGCCCCAGCTACAGCAAAAGAACTCCCAATCCCGCAGTTCAACGGCAACATTACGATTCATAAGTTTAGGGTTTAGGGTTTAGGGTTCATTACTATTACTGTTTCGCCATCAGTTAAAAGCACCTTAGCAAAGGCATACATGCATGCATAGTTCTCATAGGGTTTAGGGGTTTAGGGGCTTTCGGGCATATGGCGGTTTACAGGGTTTGGGGATTATTGGTTTTGGGGGGGCTTATGGAGATTTATAGGGGTTGACCAAGGCTTAAGGCCTCGGGGCCTGGGGTTATCTTCCACCTAAGTTCCCCAAACCTCTAAACCCCTAAACCCTAAACCCCTAAACCCTAAACCCCAAAACCCTAAACCCCTAAACCCCAAAACCCCTAAACCCCTAAACCCTAAACCCTTGAACCCGAGGGCCCGGAGTCCTGACAATCTTGGAGAGGTGATGAGCCTGGCCCTGACGGAGATCACTGGCAAGCTGCTTCGAATCTATGCCTTCAGCATCTTGAAACGGAAACGGAGAAGGCTTTGGGGTTTAGGGTTTAGGGTCTTAGGGCTTTGGGTTTAGGGTTCAGGGTTTAGGGTTTATAAGGATTTAAGGTTTAGATTTGAGGTCCCAAACCCACAACCGTAAACCCAGGTTGGGGATTATGCCCAGTCTTCGGGTAGAAGGGTTGTGCTAGGGCCGGCAGAAAACTCCAAAGCCCTTTGATACCGATAGTCTGCGTTGCAGTAGTGTTAGTATTGTAGTCCAGAAGGCATCACAGCAGAATCCAGCCCAGATCCCCAATCCGAAGTTCTTAAGGCCCTTACAGCAGCGACAACAAAGATGACAATCAGCAGGAACAAGGAATAAAGAGATACTGTTTCCGGATGAGGATGTGTTCGTATGTATCTGTACAAATGAATGCGCACTTACACATACTGATATGCATGCATCAGTTTGCTCTAGCAAGGCATCTGCCTAGGAATGGTTGGGGCAGTTCTGTCCAAGTGATGAACACTTTGTCTAAGGTGCGTTCGATGCCGGCGTCACGCCCAACCCAGCTCAATGCAGAGGCCTTGTTTTAGGTTGTAAGTGCACCCACTGTGCTCAACGCAACTGGTAGCTCTGACTTCTGCAATAAGTATTCTCATGCAGTAAGTTGGCTGGCTGCGAAGCGTGGCTGTCAAGAGTGACCGGGCACACTAATGGAGGGACGGCTGGAGATACCTCGTCAGGTGTACTACTGTCGTTACGGCCTAAGGTCAAGTGTGTAGCACTCGATGTAATCCCTTGTACTTGGGGGGTTCATGGGTTGTTCTACAATAAGCGGGGTTATAAGTCCTCTAATGCGGGTTATAACTATAGTTATTATCCTACTCATAACCCCACTAACTACCCATGAACCTCCCAGTAGGACTATCGGACGGCTCTCATTTCACGGGCAGCTACTGCCTGAGCATGTAGGTAGTTCTCTAAATCAGGGTCCTTTTGTCTTGTAGGTCCCCCAAAACAGGACGGCACCCTTACAAAACGGACCCTAAAAGGGACCCGACTCTAGAGAACTATCCATTTGCAACAGACCACCGATGGTTGGAACGCGCTTTCCGAACGTTTCGGTCATGCAGACTTGCCACATAATAGGGGCTTGAGTAGTTACCAAGAGTAGTCGTGAGGGTCGCTTTCTCTAAGTACGGCATCTTCGAAGTCCCCAAAGCCCTATTCCAACTCTTCAGGTTCCGACTCTGAAACCTTATAGTACCCTTAAAACCAACCTACAAAGGAACCCTTCAAAGGAATCGTGTTCTAACTAGTCAGACCCCCATATTCGCTTGATGGTCGGTCAGGTTTTCAGCTTCACATTTGTTTGCCGTTGGAGTACTGCAGGGTTTGTAGGGTTTAGGGTAGAATGTGATTCCTGTCAGGCTACGTGTCCGGCTCTTCCTCGAATCCACCATTGGACTTCTACCAGTTTCCGCGTCTTCTGGGCGATGTGTCCGTTTTGAAGAAGGAGGTCGTGGGAAATCCCATGTACGCCGAAGCCCCAGTTGACAAATGCTCCAGCGCTAGGGGCGAAGTTTGAAGTGCATAGGTGGCGGTCGCAACTGCGAGCTGAAGCATGCATGACATGCCTCCTTGCAAAAGACGTGTGACTCAGGACACCTCTGCAGTGCTCATGGCATTGTGCGCTCTCTCAGCGACGAAACCGCAAGTGGATATCATGTTGGGAAAAATCGCCGAAGGCCGGTTTCGTCAAGAGCTAGCTTGCATTCCTAGACCCAGCACCAGTAATCTCCCGAGATCTCCTCTGGGGGTGCTTGCAACACTAGCGATGCTAGGATTTGAGCGAAACGCACTACTACTAGATTTCTATTGGTTCGACGAGACCAGATCTCCTTGTGGAGGCTCGATCCTGTCCTCATCGGAGCGAGACGAAGTGCTCGTTCGGGCTTTCCGTGGAGAGGACGGGCCCTCAAAGGTACAAACGGGGTCTGAATAATTACTAGCTGATAGTATTCTTAGTATTCCCGTATCATGTCATGAAACGAATGTATACGTCAGCTTATGTGCGAACGTAAATGCAAAGGTTAAACTATTGCTATATAAGTTATAAGGTGAGGTCAGGTCAGGCAATGCAGCAAATTGCTGAGTAATGCGTAATGTATTATCTCTGTACGAAATGAGCCGTATGTGTGGTTTGCCATGTTATGGTCGGTTATATTATATTGTGTTATGCTATGACATGTGATGCAACGCTGCAATATTGCAATGCGGTGGCAACACTGCATCAGTGTATGTATGTCAATGTATGCATGCAGGTATGTGCATTTATGTATGCATATGTATATGTGCAATTGATCTCTATGTCTATACCGCTTTCTATGTCTATTCCTTTGGCTTCGTCTGCATCTATATCTATACCCGTCTCTATGTCGATGTCTTTGTCTACATCGATATTTTTATCTCTAATATCCATATCTGTGTGCCTGTTTATGTGTATTTGTATACATACATACTTACTTTCTGTCTTTCTGTCTTACTTACTTACGTACATACATACATACATACATACATACATAGGCACACGTTTGTGCAGAGACGAGGTTTCGGCCATGGTGTTAGTTCACAGAGCTGTAAGCCACTGAGCGCCCTGGGCCTTTGAGCTCGCCAGGCCTTGCCCGGCCTACTTAACCTCTTCTTGGAGGGGACGCTTGGGTGCTCAGAGGCTTTCGGGGCTCAGTTGTTTTTTGTGGGTTTCAGGGGTTCGTGTCAGGTGAGACTACCCATGGGCTGCGAGTTCTGAGCCCTTTTTTGAGATTAAGGCTTTGCGATGACTGTCGGTTTGGCGTTGCGGAAGCCTGATCTGAAATCCGAAACCCACTCCCAGCCCTTACCCTGCCTGGACGTGTGGCCTGGAGTCTTGTCCTGGAATTGCTGGGGTTCGAGGGGCGTCTGCACCTCCAAAGCAAAACGGCATACACCCTCCGGAAATCAGGCAGTCGAAGCTGTTAAATCGTCGAGTTTGAAGAGCCAAGGCAGGTGGTCGCCCGCAACTCCATCTGAGGATGCACTGTCATGCTGTTTAAGCAAGGCTCCTTGCAAAGAAGATTGAGGGCTTGTAATCCACGTGAAAAACACATGTCTGCTGCCATGCCTGAGCTGAAAGGAGCCTGCTACGCAGGGCGACCAATATTTTTCCTACGGAACCGGAAGGTGGATTTGATCCCCTGTCAGCTTTGACTTCCCGACAATGTGATGTTCATGCTACATCTGTATGAGTCTGCTCGTCTACACAAGTGCCACCCCCAACCTTGGGATCAGGATCATGTTTACACTCATCACTGTCGCTGTCGACATCATCCGCATCATCATCAACAGAACCATCATCATAATCATCATCATCAGAACCTGACATCTCTTCCTCTTCCTGCTTGCGCGGCTACAATATGCCTGGATAACGAATTAGCAATGTTTTCTTGGGGTTCTGTACCAGAATAATGGCAAAATATCCCCCTCAAAACTTCCACTTATTCAGGCCTTGGTATTAACACCATCTAGCTCTCAGGGAAGGCGGGGAGATCGGGTCCATGCCTGCTTTTTGCACATCCGGTCTCAGATAATAGTCTGGCTTACAGCATTCAACCCATCTGCACTCCGCCGCACGGAAACAGTGCGACAAGGCTAGTGGGCAGCTCTTACTGTCTTGCTGCTTCTCGCAAGCTTCTGACGCCTGGGGGTGGTTGCAGAAATCGCAGTCTTAACTTAAAATATAACCCAAATCCTAAACCCTAAACTCAAACCCTAAACCCTAAACCCATAACAGAAAGGTCAGCCCGGGAATCCCGGTCCACTGTGCCGGTCGCGTGCGTCGAACATAGGTCCAGAAGGCTGGTGAGAGCCAGGAGAAGACTCATATAAGAAAAAAGCAGTAGCATACAGTATACCCATAGGCTCCTTAGTAGTTCCTTTTTGGGATGACCTTATAGAATCCTAAATATATACCCACTATGGAGCCTATATATGGGTAATGTATAAGATACTGTACTATAATACGTGGCTTCGCTGGCAAGACGTCAAGTATTCCACAGGGCGCTCATGGGCTTGCACATGGCACGCATTCAAGACAACCTTGCTTGGAGAACCGGGGCTCTGACCCCGCGCCCTAAACCTTGAAGCCTGAACCCCTTAAAACCTAAGCCTAAGCCTAAAACCCTAGACCCTATAGACTCAAAAAGCCCTACACCCTTAATTAAACCCTACACCCCTAAGCCCTGAACTCAGAAACGCTCGTCCCACTTTTCGCGGAGGGCAGATTACCACGACCTTGTCCGGATCCCGCGAAAGCAGTGGCGTTCCCACACTCAATTAGGAGAATGTTCGGTAGGACGGATAGCTTAGTTTGGGGCTGGGGGTCAGGACTCCAAGCCCCCCTGCAAGTACTGGGATCCTTCCATGATTAGTCTCACATTGCCTTCAAAACGGGGCTATAACATCGGCAGCAAGCTGCCGAGAAGTTTATGGACTTTGCGTCCAAAGGACGCTGCGAAACAAGCACCAGGAAAAGTCGCGTGGTAGCACGGTTGAGGGTTTGGGGCTTGGGGTTTAGGGATTTACGGGTTTAGGGGTTTGGGTTTGTCTTCATTACGACACTTCCGTACAGATAGTATGTGGCAACGACTTCCAGGCAAAAGAGCAAACCTGCAATATCTAATTAATGATCATTGTTACCATGACTTCGCCGTACCTCCCGTAGGAAGTCGTGGAAAAGAAGGCTCAGCTACTAGTTGGGAACCCTTCTACCAGTCGGATTTACTTGAGGTTCATGGGTAGTTGTAAGTGGGTTGCAAGTCCCCATATTGGGGTCATAATTATTGTTACCCTACATATAGTTCCACAGAAATAAAAAAATAATATATTAATATTATTATTATTGTTATTATTATTATTTGTAATATATATTAATTATAAAAATATATATAATTATAATTATATATATATATGCATATAGCTACCCAGCTCAGCTTCGGGCCTCCGTCGCCTTGCCAAAGCAGAATACCAAGTCATCGGTGGGGTTTCAGTGAGTAGGGTGAGTAAGGTTCAAACGCTGCGCCATGTTTTCTGGAAACTTCAGCTCAAACTTGTGACTACCCATAGGCTCCTTAGCAGTTCCTTTTTGGGATTAGCTTATAGAATCCTAAATATAAACCCAAAAAAGGAACTACTATGGAACCCATGGGTAAGCCCGCATAAGCCTTGCTCCTGCTCCAGGCTCTTCACCTTCGCATCCGAGATGCTCGATCTTCGATTTGCCTACTTTTCCGAAGATCAGGTCCGGTGCTTGGCCTAAACCCTATACCTTAAACCCTTCAAAAGGCCTTTTTGTTTAAAATAAAAAAACTAAACCCTCAACCCTAAACTCTTCAAAAGGCCTTAAAAGAAAACCCTAAACCCTAAACCGTGGCCAAAGACTCCAGGCTTGTCTTTCGGATTGAGGAGTTGGGCCCGAGCAGGGCAGGAAGTTCGGCGAGCGTGGGTATGTGTATGGGCCAGGTCTGTCGGGTCTACACGAAGTTGCGTTGGGTTTCCCCCCGGCTAGTGTGCACATTTCTTTTTGAACTGCTCCGAAATATGCTGCGATTTTCAGTCGCAACATGCCTTACTCTCCCGCCGACTGCCATGCATCCATCGTCAGCCCTATCATCTGGCCGCCAAACGCATTCTTCCACATCAAACCTATCGTCTCCGTTGTAGTTCCTTTCATTGGTTTAACTATATTGTAGGTTTATATTCAGTGTCCTACAATGAAATCCAAAACGATACTACAATGGAGACTTGAACGATTCAAGCCGGGGCCACCATTCCGTTGTCAGCCTCTACGTTCAATTATGCTCGAAGATGCAAGGTATACCCATAGGCCCCTAAGTAGTTTCTTTTTTCGTTTATATTAAGAATCCTACAAGGTAACCCCAAAAGGAACTACTTAGGGGCCTGTGGGTAGTGGCATCTGGAGCTCCTACAACACGGCGCAGTGTCGCGCATGCTATCCCACTGCAGCAAAAGAACCGGTTCAGATTGCAAAGAAACAATCCTAAGCAAAGGCATGTGAGTTATCAGAGGTATCGGCTATTGAGGGCTAGTTCAACAATCGAACTGTAATGAAGCATGTTCGAGTATGTATACACAATTATGTCTATCATATACCAATGTATATACAGATATATATATATATACATACATATATGTATATACATGTATGCAGTTATGTGTTTTTTGCTTATCCACTTGTATATTTTCTGTTTGTTCATTTTACGCAATTCCTTCTGACTTCACCATCTCTCTGACACACTTCTGCAACTGAGTCCGACTGAGGTCGGAGATATCGCCCGAACCTTCTGCCAGCTGCGGCATCACTGCCCAGTCTTCCTCGCGACCTTACAGCGGGTGCGCTCCCCGAGCACGGCATGTGAGCATCTTTGGGCTGTGTCCGTGTATGTGCTTCCGTCGAGAGCTGCTGGGCAGACTTGCCCCCACCCCTTCGAATCAACAACACATAATAAGCTGCTAACTGCTAAGGCTCCATGACTCCAGCCATACTCCGTAGCAAGCACACCACCTCGCAGTTTTGCAAAAAAAATGTGGCAAAACTGCGCAATGGCCACCTGGGTTTTTGTCACTCCCTGTCACTGTCTGCATTTCCAACAGTTACATGGAGCGCCTGTCGTTCAGGAACTGCCCATGCGTCTGCATGAGTACGCCTGGTGGAACCTTATTGACATCGGCGAGATGTACTTGTATCTGCAGGCGCGGCAAGACTGGATAGCGGATAGCGACAAGTTCACCAGGTCGGCTGTTAAACCCTAACCATAGGCCCCTAAGTAGTTCCTTTTTATGGTTTATATTTTGTAGAATCCCATAAGGTAATCCCAAAAAGGAACTACTTAGGGGTTTATGGGTAAACCCTAACCTGGCCATGGCTCTGCAAGGTTGATGACCGCGACA